GAAAAATGCAAAACAGAGAGTTAACCCAAAATTTTGAGTCGCCACCGATGGGTTGCTCAGATTTCAGGACAGAGTGTGTGTTCCATGTGACACTGAGTTAAAAAGAGACATTATGACAGAGGCCCATAGCTCAAAGTTTGTCATGCATCTCGGAAGCACTAAGATGTACCAAAGTATGCGATCTTGATTTTGGTGGAACGGGATAAAAAAAGATATAGCTGACTTTGTTTCTAAGTGTTTGGTATATCAGCAGGTCAAAGTAGAGGATCAATGCCTAGGTGGGCTACTTCAATCATTACCAATCATGGAGTAAAAGTGGAAACATATCACCGTGGATTTTTTAACATGATTACCTAAGGCACACTCAGGACATGATGTCATCTCGGTAATTGTTGATCGGTTTATTAAGTCTTTCCACTTCTTGGCCATCAAGATGATTGATTTCTTAGATAAGTTGACAAGAATGTATATCCGAGAAGTAGTCAGATTACATGGAGTGTCAGTGACAGTAGTATCCGACAGGGAACCCAGATTCACTTCTCGATTTTGGTATAGCCTTTAATAAGCTATGGGAACGAAATTGTCCTATAGTACTGCATTCCACCCTCAAACCAATGGACAGTCAGAAAGGACAATTCGCACACTTGAGGATATGCTCCGAACTTGTGTTCTTGATTTTGGACGCAATTGGGATGACAATATACCCCTGATAGAGTTCGCCTACAACAACAGCTACCAAACAAGTATTGGCATGGCTCCGTATGAGACGTTATATGGGCGCCCATGCAGATCGTCGATTTATTGGGAGGAAGTGGGTGATAGAAAACTATTCTGCCAAGATCTGATAGATGAGACTACATCCAAAATAGTTAAGATAAAGAAGAACATTTAGACGGCTCAGAATAAGTAGAAGAGTTATGCGGACACCCGGAGGAGAGACTTGGAATTTGAGAAAAATGACCGGGTGTTTCTTAAGGTCACTCATTTCAAGGAATCAGTAGGTTCAGTAAGAAGGAAAAACTGAATCTCCAATTTATTGGACCATTCGAAATCTTAGACAGAATTGGTATTGTCGCCTACAGACTGGTACTGTCTCCAGGACTTTTCAGAGTCCATAATGTGTTTCATGTGTCCATGCTGCGCAAGTATAATCCGAACCCCTCTCACGTCTTGGTCTACGAGTCTCTTTCACTCTAGAAGAATCTGTCATACGAAAAAGTACCGGTCGACATTGTGGACCGAAAGAGCATATTACTCTACAACTAGAAAATTTCTTTTGTTAAGGTCCTATGGCAGAATCACACACCGAAAGAGGTCATATGGGAGCTAGAATCAGACTTCAGAGCCAAATATTCCCAGCTGTTTGATTGAGAGTGAGAGAGATAAATTTGAGGGACCAAAATTCTTTTAAGGGGGGGACAGTTGAAACACCCTAAATTAATTTTTTGTAATTTAGGATTTTATTATAAATATAATTTCTTAATTTTTTAATTTTTTTAATTTTAATTTAGAGTGAAAATAAAATAAAATTGATGAATGATTAAATTGAAAATAATTTTTGGAAAAACGGGTAAAAATTTGGGTTCTAAAAATATTTTTGAAAAAATAATCGAAAACCAGATGTCAAAATACAATTTAGAGAAGTTTAGCCACGTCAGATGCCTGGTCAGCAGGTCCGACAAATCAGACAAGCCGCGTGGCAGCAGTCGCTAATGCGTGCCACGCGGTAGGCTCTGCGGGCGATCCGAAGGCCCGCGATCGAATGGTCCAGATGCGTTCCCACTCATTCAGACGGCTCAGATGCATTTTCTCCCCAAACGCAATCGGATGGTCAGGTTATATCGCGATGGATAGTCCAAATTGGATTGCAATGAACGACCCAGATTCACTTCCAATTTAATCGCGATCAGACGGTCCAGATCAAATGCGATGGATAACTCAGATCAAAAGCAAACGAATATAAATAACCCCCATCCACACCAAACCCTAACCCTAGCCGCCAGACCCCTTCGCTAGAGAAGAAGACCATGCCGCCGGGAAGGAGACCACTGCCACCCGTTGCCACACTAGAGCCCTTTCCGACCGCCAAAAAAGGTAAAAAAAATTTTTTTTACTCGGAATTTAATTTTAAACATACACATGGCCAAATCAGAGTAAAAGAACCAACTGATTGGCCGGAAAACGTGGGTAAAGCCCGGCAGCGCTGTCGTGGAGAATTCCCAAAAATGCCTCCGATGAAGCCCTTTTTCGAATCCCGTTCTGCGCGATTTTTTCACCGTTATGATCACCATTTCCTTCTCTACAGGTTGACCGGAATAAAATACCAAATCGCAACGTGAGTTGGATGAGCTACCGCACCAGAGAGCCTCGTCATCAGTAAGTTTCAATTTTTTGTATTTTTTCGGCCAACTATGGCCCCTTAACATGTTTTCTCGTAGGGATTGATGCGAAATCGACCGAAAACAACTGACTCGAGGCGGATCGCTGCTACAGGCGGCGGCGTCGTGCCAAAATTTTGAAATTGGCTAAAGTGGGCGCTGAGATTGATTTTGGGTTTGTTTGGGATATTTGTAGGTACTTATAGCGCATTTTGATTCCCGAAAGAAAATTCAGGAAATTTATGAACCGTCTGTAGGTGCAGTAAATAGCTTAACTTTTTGGGCACCAAATTGAGTAAGAATCTCTCACCCTATTCTTTGTTATAGAATTAAAGTCTAATTAGCAATAAATACAGTATTTTGTACAATTTAGAAAATGTTCATGATTAATTATGGATTGCTAATGGAGCGAGAACCAGAAACTATTCTCTATTGATTTTGTTGATTTTTTTTTATAGTTTAAATGCATGATAGTGCGTTATTTATTTATTTTATAGCATTGAATGCATGTATCGTTGTTTTACGTGTTTACGGTTGAATTGGAAAAATGGAGGTTAAAGATAAATGAAAAACTTGTGTGATTAAGTGACTGGATGAAACACAAGTCTTACTAGACATATTGGAAGATGGTAGACGGACCGGGTACACAGAAAACCCTACCATGAATGTGTCTCATACTGGATGGGGTATGGAGACTTTGTAACTTGGCACTCATACTGGACGAGATATAGGGACGACCCACTTCACCCTCATATCGGACATGGTATTGAAGTTTGATAATTTGGCGCTCATACCGAATGGGGTATGAGGATGGCCCGTAATTGAGAATTTTAAAGGAAAATGTTCACGTGTAGCGGGGACACCCCTATGAACTCTCATAGATATCAGCAGGCTGGTGAAAAAATGGGCAATTGTTGTTTGATGATTTAAATATGAAAATATAATATGTGCTATGTTGCCAATTTTATACGGAATCATGATACGTATAATGTGGTTGTTTTCTCTAGATTGTTTTCTATAAACCTCACTACAGTAAGTAGATGGTAAATGATTTTATTATTGATAAATGAATTTGCTTATTTAGTGCTCCGTTAGTTGTTTTCTGATTTTTTCTACCAACCTTTTTTTATGTGTTGGTGATATAGTGTGATATTCTTACTGGGTTAGTATAACTCATCTCTTATTTAACCATTTCAGATAAAGAAGATCAGGATCCAGATTTTCTTTATTTTCCGTTCATTTCTTTATTTCTTATATTTTTTTCGAAAATGTGAATTCCGTAACACTGTTTGGTACTTTAGGTTATCGTGTAATGAATGTAAACCTTAAACATTTATTTTTCTTCCGCACTTTAATTATCAAGTATTTTCTTTGAATATTTTCGGGGTCGTTACATCATATGTAATTAAGCGTAGCTGTAATTTGTTTAATTTGGTTTAGCTAATTTTAAGCTTTATAATAAAATTTGTACTTTTAAAAAATAATTTTTGTATTTGAATATTTGCACTTATTTAATAGCATCCATTTATTCGTTTTTATATTTTTTTAACTAATAATATCAAATTCGGTACGTTATGAAAATTTTTGTTGAAATTCAATATTTATTTATTCATATTTATATTTCTTTTAAATTAATAATATCAAATTGGGTATGTTATGAACTAATTTTGAACTAGAAATTAATAATATATATAATCATAGAATTATTTTATTCATTTGTTTTAAAATATTCAATAATGTTGAAATTTAGAGCTTCAATCTATTATTTATATTTCTTCCTGTACGACTTTAATTAATAATAATAAGTTGCAATATATGTTGAAAAATATTGTATGAAAATATTTAAAAATAAATAAAATTAACGAATTTACATTAAAGATTCACGAGTGATGAAGAGATGTGACAAATTTCATCATTAATAAGATTGTCAAAGTATGTAGGAAAAAGAGAAGGTCGTCAAGGTCTAAATATTGGTATTAGAGGACGTGATTCATTAATTAATTTTTAACTTATCCGAATAAGATAAATAAAATATCTCACTGTTAAAATAAAAGTTAAATATGAGTAAAAAGTTATAAACTTAAACAGACACATAATGAATATAGATTTAATGATTTATTTGTCTCGTACTTGTATTTTTCTGTCTTACTATATATAATTAATAAATTTTTAAAAATTTTACTTAAATTAATTAAATATTATGTAATAAATATTTTTTATAATATTAATTTCTATTTATTATTAAATATTATACTTAATATAATTTTAAATTATATGTTATTTTGAACAATATTTAATATTTTTTTAATTAATATTATCTAAATATTTTATAATTTTTTTAAAATTAAAAAAGTTAAATAGGGTGAGTAATAGGTATAAAGTTTTACTACGATAAAAAATTAAACGTTTAAAGCAAATATAAAATATTAGGGATGAAATTGTAAAAAAAAAATTAAAAATGAAAATGTAATAAAAATTCAAAATTGGAGGACTAATACGGTAATTTTATCAAAATATAAAAAGGGGTAGGAGGTGGAATTTGAAAAAAAATCAACAATAATTCCTTAAACATAAAACATGGAAAACAAAAAATGTTTTTGCAAAATTAATTATCATCACAATAATCATACCGTAGAAAAACAGTTTTTGCTGGTTTGTTCGTTCGCCTCTCTCTCTCTCTCTCATTCTGTCTCTGAGAAATTTCTCTGTGCGAGAAGAGGCCGAGGGGAATGGCGGAGAATAGAGGGCTTGCGTGCAAATGCGGGCCCACAAGAGGAAGCTTCTGCCATGGATTCACCAGAGATTCGAGTTTCGATCACAGCGCCAGAAGAACTCGAAATTTCATTCGAAACGTTTCGATGATTCCTCTCTTCAGGAGAGGACGCGTAGTCACTAAATGGCGATTTGTTGCTGGAAACAGCCGCATTTTCAGGTCGCCCCTACGCACTCATTCTATCTTTTTTCTCTCCATCTTTCTCTAGTTCTCTGTTTGGTTGCCGATAAAACATGAAGAAAGACGAGTCGAGAATTTTGGAATTTCCTTCCAGCGTTATTCTGGTTTCAATGATAAATTGAATAACTCAACCAGATTAAGCTGTGTTGCCGTCAGTATGGTAGCTGACGATTGACGAATAGGTTAAGGACCGGAGGAGAAAGTGCAAGCCATTGTTTGGGGTGGCATTTTCAAATAAAATAGCTGATGCATGGAGATTGGATTGATATTAAAACCTTTTGAGGTGATGAGACGTGCATTATTGAAATCTTACCCAAAATCAACCCAATTTTTATTCCTACAAAATTGTGTTCTAGAGACTCAGTTTGGCAATACATTATCTTTCAGTTTGGTGATACAATATCTTTGCCTCCCATCAGAGGATGTTACGGTCATAGTTTCATCACTAGGAAGATTAGTATAAAGGTTATTTTAGTATCTTTGAATTCTATGTTAGAGAACGGGAATCTTTATTTGGATATTCATCTTACAACAATGTCCTCTAGCTTTAACTTGTTTGAATGCTTTGAAAATTGAAGTTTTTTTTAATAAATAAAAAGCTGAAGTTATTTGATGCATGAAGAAGTTTTATTTCAATAATGAAAGAAAAATTATATTAAATTCGAGTCTCTTGTCCCCTATCCCCCTTCCCCTTTCACTTGGGAAGATCAAAACCATGTATTGGTCATGTATGTTGACAGTTTACTAATTGACGAGATAATAAGGCCTTTGGTTACGATTTACATTTTCTTGTGAACATTAGACTGAGAGGTATAGGTTTCATGTTGAATTCATCATGATTTTGATGCTTTTCTTTTACCATCCTGAAAGAAGAGGGGAAAATGAAACTATTTCTTGACAGTTTTTCATGATACATTTATTGCAGCATGGATGCTCGAGAGAGATCGCGATCTACAATATTGGAATCATCAAAACACAAGAGGATCCCTGTATTTGTGATGATGCCTGTCGATACATTTGGCATTGATTCTTCTGGGAGTCCAAGGATCAAGAGGTGAGTTTAATGCTTTAAACTAGAACTATTTGAGCACCTTCGGCTTTCGATGTATTAGGAGAGTTGTATGCGTGCTTGAAGTTAAGATGATCCCATATTGCCTAAGAAATCACGATTTATTTTCAGGCCAATATTTAACTGAATTTCGAACAGGACATATTTCTGATGTACAGCAAGTATTCACTGCAAACATTCATAAATCAAGTAGCCACGTTAAGAGATCTGGTCTTTTTCTTTTCAATGTCCTACAATTTATTTTTCTTTATTGTCTGGTGCTGGCATAGAAAACTTCATATTCTGCTCTTTTCTGTTTCAGAATCAGAGCCTTAACTGTATCCCTTAAAGCGCTCAAGCTTGCAGGTGTTCATGGAATTGCAGTTGAAGTTTGGTGGGGCATTGTGGAGCGTTTTTCCCCTTTTGAGTATAATTGGTCTCTTTATGAAGAGCTTTTCAAATTAATTTCTAATTCGGGGTTGAAACTACATGTTGCTTTGTGTTTCCACTCGAATATGCACTCATCTAGCAGAAAAGAGGGTGTGACTCTTCCATTATGGATTCTAGAGGTTAGTATATCTTTACGTGGTGAAGTTTCTGTTTATGGTGCAAACTGGGTGAAGTGGGGTACACAGTTTGTAGCACTATTTGCCTATTTAACCAGAAGATAGGCTCTGCGCAAACATATTAAATTGGAGGGAATTTAAATTTCGAAATCACTTTTTTGAAGCATCTGTCAGAATGTTATCTCCCATCTGTATAGTGGACCTTACATTTAGGAAACCACCTTTCCAAGTAAAAATTGTGTAGGCTACCCATTCAAATTTACAGATATGATTCTGTTTCCCTTGTACAAGAAATTTGTCACTGGAGAGAACATGAAATGAGAATATAAATGTGGCCTTCATCACATGTTCATTTGTTTTAGAACTGGAATTTAGTAAGTATTTCTTTTTAACCTTTCAGATTGGGGACCTCAATAAAGATATATATTATCGAGACAAGAAGGGATTTTCTAATGATGATTATCTTACACTTGGTGTGGATCAACTTCCTCTGTTTTGTGGTCGGACTGCTCTTCAATGCTATGAAGACTTCATGCTCAGTTTTGTTAACAAATTTGATTCCTTGATTGGAAGTGTGATTGAGGAATTAAGTGTTGGTCTTGGTCCTTCTGGAGAACTTAGGTAATTTTAAGCTATGATAGATCCAGAATTGCTAAGCCATTGCAAAGTTTTCTCATGTAGAAATTTTTGCAGATATCCTTCGCATCCTTTTGGTGATGGGAGGTGGAAGTTCCCCGGAATTGGTGAATTCCAGTGTTATGACAAGTACATGTAGGTTACAAGTAGGTTAAAATCTTTCATCTGATAGTATCCATATCATTGTCCCTAAATTGACAAGAATTTGCTCATTTTAGGATGGAGGACTTGAAGATGGCTGCATGTCAAGAAGGAAAGCCTCAATGGGGAGAAAGGGGGCCACAGAATGCTGGCTGTTACAATAGTCTTCCATCAGGGGTTCCTTTCTTTGAAGAGGGCCATGAAAGCTTTATCTCTGATTATGGTCATTTCTTCCTTGTAAGTGGCGTATGAAAGTATCCGATTCAATAATATGTACCAGAATGTTTTCTTGATCCCAACTCCATTACCTGATGCTTATTTGGTTCTTTATAATTTCTTGATCTCATGTATTTGTCAACAACACTCCTTTTCATTATAACTTTGTATTTGTCTGCAACTTTGCTGAAACTGCAAATTATTTGATAAGAAAATAAGGAAAGTATAGCTAAAGGGGACAATGGTAATAATGTGACAGCCCCACTTAG